AACGATTAACAATGCTAGTTCTCTCATCTAGATCCATATTCCAATTTTCTGAATTTTCAAATTTTCGAGATAATAATCAAGAGATAATTTGATTGTTTGTGCAAATGGCCTTTGCCCTTGTTTTCCATTTTACAATCATCTGTTAGAGAAAGCCACTTTGAAGTAATCCCAGTGGAGGCGAAGATCGTGTTGGATTTTACAATCATCTGTTAGAGAAAGCCACTTTGAAGTAATCCCAGTGGAGGCGAAGATCGTGTTGGAGTTTTAGTGAAGGAGTGGATTGAGAAATGGATGACCTTAAACCATTATGATTTGTCTTTCTCATGGTTTTCTCTCTCTTTTACCTCTCATTTTCTTATCCTATGTTCCAGATCTGGAAGCCATATCTGGCAGTCGTGACAGCGCCGACCAGTGAAGGGAAGCAGGGAGCGCCAAGGGAACCTGAGAGAGGAAGAATGAAGGGCGGCGGCAGCTGTGGCGAGATTCAAGCAGGGAGCGCCAAGGGAACCTGAGAGAGGAAGAATGAAGGGCGGCGGCAGCTGTGGCGAGATTCACCGGAGAGGAGAAGAGAGAAATGGAGAGATAAAGAGAGAGTGAGGAAGAAATGTTCCTTCATCTAGCTTTGTCAAGGACAATCACCCTAAGAAAATCTAAAATTAATATATTTTGTCTCAACCAAATAAACTTGCAAGTGTTGCTTGGAGACAGCCTCGATCGAACTATTGCATATTTCTTCCCTTCCTCGTTCGATTTTTACCTAATTGATGATCCAAATTAACATACAACAAACGTTTTAGACTAAGCTACAAATCACAAAAAGGATAAAAAATCTCTTTTCGTGATTATTGCGTATCATTTAGAGACTAATTTCATTTAAAACGCAAAAAACTTTTTTAAAATCATCTTTTAAATAGTTGAGGTTCGAAATCCATTCCACAATAGGTCTCAACTGCGTGATCCATTCAGGGTCCTAATGGAACATATAGCCTAATTCCATCATTTTTTATTTTATCTATTTCTCACCTAATTGTTTATTGCATTATGCCCTTAAAAAATATTTTGTCTTCAACCGAAATCAATATTTTATTGTCTCAAATTTAGTTGGAAGTCATTTAATCTCTCAATTTCAAATTTGTAACCATGTAATTTCAACTAGTAATAATTTGGTCTTAATGTTTATACTTTAGGAACAAATTTAATCACTTATTTTAAAAAAAAAAACTTAATAATATTTTCATAATATAATATAATAAATTATTTCAAATTTTAATAGTAAATAAACTAAATCCTTAACAACTAAAACTTCATAGGTTGAAACTATGACTGTTTTTTAACCATTAAAGTTTCTATTCGAAAAACCGAAAAACCGATCATTGATGTTTTCTTATTCGAAAAACCGATCCTAGAATAATGTAATCCGAAACATCATATTGCAATTTCTTAGAGAAAACAGAGCAAAAAATGAGACGAACTCGTACCTCCACCGTCCTTTGTACTACGTAAGTTTCCGATCGAAGAATCTCGAGAGAGATAAATCCAAGCTCTTCGAAGAAACCTCTGTGCATCTTCGTCCAACACTATTTTTCATTTCATCCTAAAAGGTAGATACAAGAACAGATCAATAAGAGCATAAGTTTGAGAGAGAAAACAAAAACTACGATTGAGAGATTAGGTATTAGAAAAGCGAGAAAGAAAAGATGAAGAAATCGAGCATATCTATTCGAAAACCTGATCGGATCTCCAAACTGGAGAACTTTCGAAAGCTTGTTCCCTCTCGCTTCCTGGTTTTCCCCCCTCTCTGCATCTTTTTTTTCCTTTTCGCGCCGTGAATTTGAACATTTTTCCTCCCAAAAGACCATATATATACCCTCTCGGCTGTGGGGCCCATTCAGTGAACCCGCTTTTCTCTGTGCGAAAAATTTTAATTTAAAATTTGCATTAATTCTTTAATTATTCATTTTCTTTTTATGAACCATTCCATGTCTAAGCCTCACTCATAAATTTTATTAAACTAAAAAAACATAAATTAAGATAATTATTGCAATAATGCGACAATATCTTAACTAGTTAAACTATATTTTAATAGAAAAAATAATAAAAAACATAAATATAACCTTAAAATAAGATAATTATAGTAATTACAGTCATGTAAATACCAAGAGATTTGAATCGACTACTTTATAGATGATGAATGTCTTAACTAGTTGAACTATATTTTAACAGAAAAAAAATAATAATAACTTAATTTAAACCGTATACATGTTCACCGACAAAATAATCAAGTTAAATATGTTAGATTAACACGACTCTCCATAATAGTATGATATTATCTACTTGTTAAAATAATAATAATAGTAATGTAAGAACAATTTTAAAGGAATAATTTTACAATTTAAAATTCAAGGTGGGTTTTTTTGTACCTTTTCAATCGAAAGATGGGCTTGCCTTTTGGGCTCCTCTATAGGTAGTTGGCTCCCTTTTGCCTCCACCATAGCAGTTGGTTCTGAACCATCTTGGAAAAAATAGGCGATGGCGCTGGCTCCCTTTTGCCTCCACCATAGCAGTTGGTTCTGAACCATCTTGGAAAAAATAGGCGATGGCGCAGTGGTGCGGCGCATTAGCTAAGCGAGTGATGGCGGCGGAGCGACGGTCTCCTTCACCGACGTCGTCCATGGCGGTTGAAGGACTGGTGCCGATCCTTTGTGGACGAGGTGACAAGAAGACGAAGAAGGGGAAAATATTCAAAGGCTCGTACGGAAACGCTAGGCCGAAGAAGGAGAAGAAGATTCAGCGAATTAAGGATAAAATCGAGGTTCCTAGTTCTACTCCTTGGCCTCTTCCTTTCAAGCTCATCTGATTTTAATCTCCTTTGTTGTTGCCTCTAATCGGATCGGACTTTCATGATCCGTAATTTTGAAAAATCAAGGTTTTCTCGAGGTTTAGGGTTTATGTCGAGTCAAGATCAATTTAAGCAGACTTAGTATTGATCTTTAGTGATAAATCGTCTGCTGATGCGTGTCGAGTCAAGATCAATTTAAGCAGACTTAGTATTGATCTTTAGTGATAAATCGTCTGCTGATGCGATTTCATTTTTCCGATNATCGGACTTTCATGATCCGTAATTTTGAAAAATCAAGGTTTTCTCGAGGTTTAGGGTTTATGTCGAGTCAAGATCAATTTAAGCAGACTTAGTATTGATCTTTAGTGATAAATCGTCTGCTGATGCGTACGATTTCATTTTTCCGATCTGAAATTGGAATATGGAGCTTTCGAGCGAATTTTGGCTCAGGTTCTTCTTATCCTTGGAATGATATCTGCAAAATTTTGGAGAAAATGAAGTTTTCTGTCAATCGGATCTGATTTATCATACTGAATCTGCAATTTAGGCTTCAACAATCTGCAATTTCGCGATAGATTTGAGAATCGAAGTCTTTTCTCGGTATGTTTTAGAAGATTAACAGAAGAATAATATGATAGAATTAGCAAAAATGTATTTGAAGGTGGAAATGATTAGCAATACATCTCAGTCTCATTTTAATGCTTGAATTTTCCAGATTTATTATATTTTACTAAGAAATTTTCCAAATGTCGATTTTCATTTTTGAACATAAAAACAACTCACCATTTAAGGCTTTTATTTTACGTTTTATATAACAAATGTATAACTTGTTCAATAGGTGTGTATTTCAATAGGTGTAATGAAAATCTATAAATTTAAATAGAATGTCTCTAGAATTTTTTGTTCTTTTTAAACTAAAGAGTTTGAAAGATATCCCATAAGCATTGAATTATTGATAATCCAACAAGTTCAAAACACTATTACAAAGTCTCCCTATAAGTTACACGTGATCAAACTATACAACGAGATATTGATCCAAAAAAGGTTTGGAAGACGTTTTCAATTGCACAATAGCCAAAATGTTGTGCGGATATGACTATTTTGCTCGAGCAAACCGACCCATAAGAAAACCTAGTCATTTAAGCATGTTTGATAATAATATTACTCAATCCATTCTAGCCTTAATTAATCTATAATAATCTTGTTCGGTCCGTATCGATCACAAGATATAACTATTTTGTTCTATCCCATAATTGATAATCATTTTTTAACTTCATTCTTATGTCTTAAAAAAAAGCTCTTGAATTCCTAATCAACTTCTAAAAACAAACAAACTACATCAAAAGATAAAAGTTTATAAGTGAAAGTAGTGTTCATAAGCTTAATTTTAAAAAATTAAATGATTATCAAACGACAATTGGAAGGATAAAAGAAATGAAAAACGTGACAATTATAATGTTTCGAGTTTCACAAAATACACAACAACAAAAGCTAAATCAATCAGCCTAATCTAAATTAACTTCCTAGATCAAGCAAGATTACAAAGGGATTTATACAGCCCTATTACAAAATTAATGAAGCTTTAGTTTCTTACATAACTATATTGATTACCAGTAACAAAAATACGAATGATATGATAACTTCAGTAGCGTTATTATATGTGCAGCAGCTCAGGTCACGGAAGAGAACTCCTACTGTTCTTCCAGCTATATGTTCTTCTACTTTTCAGTGGAGGTGTGATGAAGCTGAGACCAAAGTTCCCCTTGAGAACCTGTCCTTGTTCAGCAAACTTCACAAGCTTCGCAACAATGGCTGCACTCTCTGTTACATGGTTCATGTTCTTCGAGTCGCTCCACAAGCAGTTGATGAGCTGCAGCCTTCGGCGTTTTGAACTCAACAAGATTCCCCATTGCTGGAAGAGTCTCTTTCTCTCTTCTTCTGAGAATCGTTTCCGCATTAACTTACTCAATGTTTCTCTCTCGCGACGAAGATCTCTCACACTGTCTCCCGAGCAGAAAGAAAAGGAGCAAGCATTATGTAAGTGATATACGAAACTCGCATCGAGACACAAGTGACATACAAAACTCACATCGATAAAATGATAAGAAACGAGAAATGTTCAAATGAAGCAAACGTCCCAAGAAGAAACAAAAGTTTCATTATACATATGAAACTCACATCGACAAAATGAGAAAACGAGAAATGTTTAAATGAAACAAACGCCCCAAGAAGAAACAAAAGTTTGAAAAGATTTACCAATCTTATCTCTCAAAAAAGAACAAGGGCTTTGAAAAACATACATATTTCCTACTTATTCAAACAATGGATGGAAGTATAAAACAGAGGACTAACCTTGAAGCAAAAGAAACTTTCCGGCCATCTTCCATAGCTTCATTGCCGTAATAAAATGATTGCTTCATAAAAGTCAGTCTCCTAATCTCCACTTCCATGTAAATGGAATCGGTAGGATCACCTTGGAAGAGCAAGAAAAAGTAAGTTCTGTGGACTATCGAGACGTTGCAAGTTTGCCAAAGTTCAACTATCATCCTCCGCAGCCTCTGAAATTCTTGGTTCCAATCGGATGTGACTAGTGCAGCATCTTGCAATGTCTCTCCCCCTCCAGCACCATTTGAAGCCTTTAAGAGATCCAATTCGTGGCCATCCTTCAGAAACTAGTAAGAACATGCTTCTAATTGTTAGGAGAAATGATAATATTTAGACCTGAATACTAAATATCATAAATTGATCATTTCCATCAATATAATCAAGCAAATTGTGGGATTAAAGCAAGAGGTATAGACCAAAATGCATTGATCTAAAAAGTACACACGGTGAGAAATCACGGATGTCCATAATGGTATGATATTGTCCACTTTGTGCATAAGCTCTCGTGGCTTTGCTTTGGGCTTCCCCAAAATACCTCATACCAATAGAGATGTATTCTTTACTTGTAAATCTATGATCTTTCTCTAAATTAGCTAACGTGGAATTCCCTCCCAACAATCCTCAACACACACCATATGATTGCCCATCCGCAAGATATTATGGAAACTTAGATTATCTTGGAACCATGCAATCTATTTCGTGAAAGTAAAGAAAAAAAAGTGCATCCTCACCTGTCCATCAGCAAGTTCTTTCCCATACTCTAAGTTGGTCATTTTCTTCAATCCGGCAACAAAGGCGTCTAAGCGAGTAACGTCTTCATCTGCCGAAGTTTTGATGCTCCGAGCACTTCCTATAGAAGACTGAGAATCAAGCCTCCGGAGGCTGTCATCAAAGACTAATTGTGAGAGTTTCCGTTCAAAACCTTCAGGTCTTCCAGGAAATCTTTGGTCAAATCCATGAGGAGGGGTGGTTTCTCCTCTACCAGGTGATAAATCAGTCGAGAGATTGGCTCTACAACTCCAGCTTCTGGCTAGCTTCAAGCTTCTGGAGCTTGACATATCAGCAGTAACCTTTGAACATGCATGGTCGCGGTAAGGACTGAACATAGAATTAATTTCTGTCCTTCTTACATTATGGAGTCTTTGCTCCGGTTGATCATTTGCTGAATTATTTTGAATTTGATGTGCTTCTCTATTCCCTTTCACAGGGGTTGATATCATTTCATGACCATTTCCTCTAAATTCACCGTTATTGGCAGCAAGCGGTGACAAGTTATCATCCCTGATTGACTCCCCCATTTCAATACATTGAACTTCCTTGCAGTCATCGGAATCTTCGACTATTGCAAGAGCGGTTGATGTCATTGGACTGTGACCGGAGTAAGAGTCAAGAAACCTCTTTCCATCATCACTGTCTCCATCATAATAATGAGGATTGTTGAAGGATTTTACACCCATATCTCTATCACGAAAATCAGCCACACTTGAAGTTTCTGATGGTGAACCTTCATCCTCTAAAGCATCCCTCGCTTGCAATTTGGAATAACTACTTTCGATATCCTGGAAGGAAGGCAAGCAAATGGTAGGAAGAACACGAAGCCAACTGACTACGTATGCGTGCAAGTAAATCAAGTTAGCATTTGTCAGTAAATGTTTACCTTTCTCACGACATCATCATGTCCAACCATACGAAGTAAATCTTCAATCCGGGATTGAGCGAGATCTCTTTGCTTTGTGAGCTCTCTAATCTCCTTCGCCATCTGCAAGATGAAACATAATGTAATCTATAAGCATTTGTCATGCTAACTTTTTCCTCCTCGTGGCTACCAATTTGAGTGTGAGATAGCCAGTTTGGGTTGTGGTTTCCTTTGATCAAGCGTAACACAAGACATCTTTAGCCTTCTCTCATGCAGTTCTCGACACCAAACTTAATTATAGAACGGATATGGATATATTCTTGAAATTAAATAGAACAAACAAATGATGGACAGGATTTTCTAAACAATTAACTATATAAAAAAAATGTCACCGACCAAATGAACATTGTTCTTCAATCTCCAGAAGGAAAGTACTAGAAAAATGTCTACCTCTCCTCATTATGACACAAATAAATTTCAGATCATGCCTCATTGCAAAAGAAAATTATAGAACTTCAAATTAATTCAAGCATATATCTCGAGCGTGAATTCAGGTAGAATAAAAACCTTCTCAATTTGTAGATCTTTCTTTTTAAGTAAGGCTGCATATTCAGAACTGGATGAAATAGGGGCAGGGGTTCTCAACTCACTCTCCAATCTGGCTACCTCTTTCTGCAAATGCTTAACCAAAGCCTTCTGAGACATGACCACGTTGACTTGTGCTTTTGTAGTCACCTCTTTTGCACAACAAGCAAACAAGAGAGTGTTTCTAGTTTGTTCAACGTGAGTTCTTGCAGGGCTCAATGTACAGATGACGGCTGTTCTAGCATTGCCACCTAAGCAGGGCTGCAATATTCGCGTCAGCTTAGAATCTCTGTAATTGATATGACCATTTCTTCCTTTGCTGCACCACATTATAACACCAAGGGTTTTAGAAATACAGAGCTTCCCTTACTGTGCAAATTTTACAAAAAAAAAAAAAAAAAAAAAAAAAAAAAAAAAAAAAAAATATGGGAAAAGGTANACATCTGGTCGTCTACCAATTTGATATTTTACTCCAAAAATACGCCATTGTAACAGAAGCTAATTCGGAATTTGTTCTCACAGAATATCACGGTTCTTTCCAACCACAGAGACATTCATAATGGCTAAAGTGAAATTTTCCACAAATGAGTTTACCCCAGATGCAAGTCCCATTGAACATCAAACTAAAATGTTATTAGGAGGGTGCTTGCTGCATACATAGTGAAACATCAGGAAACTCTTAATAAACAAAGACTGCCGGGGAGCATAATTGAACATTAATGCAGTCACAAGTCATACGTAAGAAAGTTCTGTATTTCTTATGCCGGGGAGCATAATTGAACATTAATGCAGTCACAAGTCATACGTAAGAAAGTTCTGTATTTCTTATTGACAATCCATATCTATTCTTAACACATTAGAGAATGTGCATGACACAAGCATCAGTGACAAGTGGCAATTAGGCAAAATAATAATAATAATAATAATAATAAAAGACCATTCACTCAAATCTAAAGGGAAAAAAGGAAAAAAAATCCGAGTTTAGTAAAAATTTCAACAACGTAAAGGGAAGGAAAAATGACTTCATGTACCTTAATTTGCGAATAACAGTACCGAGAGTCAGTAAACTGCGATTTATGTGGCAGCCTTCTTTCAATCTCGCCCCTGCTGATAATGCTTGAGCTGCACGTTCACTCCCAGCTAAATCAATAAAATTCTGCCAGAAATGACGGAAGAGTGAGAAGTTAAGACGATTTGTTTCTCACACATTGAATTTCTGTTTATGGAAGTCTCTTAAACGTTGGAGAAAACGTAGTCAAAATAATAGCTGTGATTCTTCACACAATATACAGTTAGATGGTCATTACCACACTAGCAGCAAGGGTGGTTGAATTGTCTTTTCCTAAAAACTCTCGAGCAGAACTTTCAATTGTCTGCATGAATCAACAAGGAGTTGGTGAAAATTTTATCCCTGAGATGAAAATTGAATCCCTCGATCAGATGGATCGTGTGATTAATGAAGAAGAGACGTGATGCACACCAATTTAATAATTTGATGAGATCTAGAACTTTTCTCATTCAGCGAGGTCTCTCCAATCCGTCGTTGAGCTGCACATTATAATCAGATTTCATGAAGATATGACACAATAATCAGAGACTGGCAAGATTTTTCAAAATGCTTCACCTTCACACATTGAAATGAGCTCCTTTAAATGGTTCCAGTCCCTCAAAGTTTCCTCAGTGACTTTCTCCACAACAGTCCCTCGCTGTTGATAACCAAAAACTGTGGGAAATGCAAAAATAGGAAAACAATAGAGTTTTTTTTTTTTTTTTTNGTTTTGAGGAAAAGAAAACAAACAGACAGTCAGAGAACTCAGAATAGAGCTTGTCAAAGGAAGGGTAAAGGGCGTAGTGCAATCACCAATATTAACTCACCTTTCTAATGTAATCAAATATATCTGACACTGAATGTTCAAGAATTCCGTTCATGGTGTATGTCTTTCCACTGCTTGTTTGACCATATGCAAAAATACTCGCTGGAAATTTGAAAGCATATATATTGGAGTAAGGTACTGCTTGTTTGACCATATGCAAAAATACTCGCTGGAAATTTGAAAGCATATATATTGGAGTAAGGTCTTTTCAAGTTCATTAGAAACCTTGACATGTTAGAGATCAAAGTGGAATGCAATTATATACTTACAGTTGATACCACTGACTACAGAAAATGCAATTTCTTTGGCTCCTTCCTCGTACACCTGCTTTGTGGAGCAATCACCTCCAAATACTCTATCTGTCACCAAAAAAAAATATGAACAAAACATTAAATAAACCTCTTATACAATACCATTCAATTAAAAAGTTATATCTCTATCAATGGCATGCGTAATGTACCATAGAAAAGTTAGGAACCACGGCTCTTCACAATGGTATGATATTTTCCACTGTATTCCTTACTTACAAACCCATGATCATTCTCTTAATTAGTCAGTGTGGGACTCTCTCCCAACAAATCTCAACAAGAAATATTTTGAAACATCGACTTAATTTACAAAGCCATAGTCATGTAATTACAATATCATCGAGTGATGAAGAGAAATCGTTCGAGTTTAGATAAAAGAAACTATTAAAGGGTTCGATAAAAATGTGTGAAATAAAGTGTCTAATCCTCATAAATCCACACTTTCAGATGTTTTACAAAGGATATTAAAAGGTGAGAAAGATTAGCATTACTTACCAAAAGTATAGGCACTTGGAAATGTGGACCCCTCCCGTAAGGTATTCCGGTACAAGATACTAGTATCATTGATGCACTCCCAATCCACTGCTTCATTCATAATAATCTCCTTCTCATTCAAAGGTCTCAACCTTACTAATACAAGAATTTTCTCTTCACGGGCATTTATTTCCTGCATTTTCTCCAAGTTCATCAACTCCTCTCCGGCAACCGTCCCCATTTCTCAATGCATTTATTTCCTGCATTTTCTCCAAGTTCATCAACTCCTCTCCGGCAACCGTCCCCATTTCTCAATGTAGCCAAACCTTCTCCCAGCCCAACAGGCCACCACCTTGATTCAGTCTATATCAATCCATAATTGTAGATACCCACCTTCTCCCAGCCCAACAGGCCACCACCTTGATTCAGTCTATATCAATCCATAATTGTAGATACCCAAGTCATTGGGCTCGTGCTTCGCACATTTTCAGGACTGTTAACATTTATAAAGGAGAGCTTACAAGCCATTAATGACAAAAATTTCCTGCATAAAATACTAATAACATGCTAAATAA